AACATTTGATACAAGAATCACCCAGCACTGCATGTAACTGACTGAACAGGTGGAATCATTAGTCTGGATCAGATCCCAGAAGGTTTTTATGATGATTCTTTTAAAATGTGACCATGTTCTTTCTGAGCAGAGTTGACTCAGTGGCTTCCAGGAACGGGAGTGTAATGTCATTTCAGGGTGCCTACCAGTAGATCTTCCTTTTAGTCATACGATACCGTGCACTAACTTCGGGTAGTCAGATAGTTTGTTGTAGCTAAACAAGTTGTCCAGTTCTATTTTGTTTTCTTCTTAATAGAAAGTGTGTGCATGTGGGAGGAAAACAACAACAGATTCCACCCCCGGCCCTGCACCCCTCCCCTGCCTTCTGTCCCTGCAAAAGGGTAGGTGTGATGATTGCTCCAGGGTGGTCTGTCAGAGTGGTAATAAAGCCGGCTTTGGAAACCCACAAAAGGAACTTACTTCTTTCCACCCCCTCTTCCCTATTGTGGCAGAATTCTTAATTTCTTCCTAACCAGAAATTTTCTCCCTAAAACTGATGTTGTCTTCAGGTTGTGAAAATCTTGCATGAATTACTGGGTTGAGCAATGCAAGGAGGAATATAATGAAGAAAAAGATAGGCTCAGTGGATGGGATGGGAAAAAGGGTTGTCACTGAAATGTCAGAGCCTGTGTCAGAGGAGGAGAAGAAAAAACTTAGTGGTTCATCTAGTTAAGCTCATGCAAGGGTTTTGCATTGCAATTATTGCTACTGTGTTTCATCCAGAAAATAGAGAAGAATGGATTTATGGTAAAACAACAGATTGGGACTCGCATCTCCCGAGTTTTATTTTCTGTCAGAGGTTCAGTTCTGACCTTGAAGCACTTCTCTCATCTGTATGTCTCACTTCTTCCTCATCTGTAAAATATGGATAACAGTATTCCTCTAAGTACTCCTGTGCTTCAGAGTGGTCATAAGAGGAACAGAATTTTGATGTACATGAGATCCTTATATTAAATAGTAGTAGATATTATAAAAGGGCCTAAACAGACAGTCAAGTCTTAAAAGTTCTTGGGCAAAGGAGCTTTTTATACAATACCCGAGGTGCAAGAGATGTTTGTGACAACCCATTTTATTCTCTGACTTGCTCTGATTCTGTGTTTGACTACAATTTACAGAGGCTGAGCGATCCCTGAAAATTGAGTGGCAGCAGTGACAATCACAAAAGAGGGTCAGCAAGAACGTTTGAGTGCAAAACGGGTGCTGGATTATTCAAATCAACACCCTGAAGCCTGAAAAGGAAATTTTAAGGCTTTGTGAAAATTATGACTAATTCTTTACAATGGCTGTGGTGCTGTAGAGGAATGAAATGGGTGGTTGGGGGAAGGGAATAGGTTTGCATTCTGTAGGGCTATGAAGACAGTTTCCTTGCATCCTTCTCCTCAGCTCAGTCCTTGCTCAGTACCCTCTGCGGTTAGATTATTCCTTGCAGATAGCAATCAACTGGAAGGAAGTGTGTGTCTAATTTGCATGAGATTATTTAAAACAAAAAAAAAGGTCTGCATTAGTCAGGGTGATGGTAAACAACGCAAAGAGATGCCTTTTATAATATAGCAGTGGCTCAGCTCTCAAAGCCAAATATAATTCACTTACAATTGGCAGTTTCCTTTATTGTTCCTTTTAACCTTTTGCATTCTGCATGGTCTTGATCTTGCTGAAACTCCAGAACAACTAAAATGTTTGTTTACCAAAGTGTTGAGAAAGTGGATTTAGAACAATTCTTCTGTTAAACAGGTGATTTTCTTGATATACCTATTTGAGAGTTATATTAGACACAAAGCTCCAGTTTTCATGGCACTGCTTTTGTGTCCAAGGGAAGTGGTATTATTTTTGGGTTACCAACTTCCAGCTAGATATTAGAACAATGAATGGACCACGGATACTTTTTTATATAATGCAGTGATAGAAGGACTGTGATAAAATAAAGCAAGGTGAGATATTGGAAGAGATGACACTTTGATCTGATTTAGAAATTCCCACTTTTCTATGTAATTAATATATCGAGGTTGAATAATTTGGGGCATGGAAAACTCATACTGTGTGCATACATGTGTGTAGGTGGTAAATCTGAAAAAAATTCAGTCCAAAGGGAATTTTGATGAGCTAGTTATAGTTGCCTGAGGACAGTCTTAGAATATCTTGTACATTTTTGTTAGTGTGTGTGAGAAATGACAACCATGAAGACAGGTATATTTCTGAATCCACAGATGACTAGTTGCAGTGCAGACTTACTCCATACTTATGCTTAAGGAGTCAGCTCCGGGAGATTATTCCCTTGACGCTTGGAGGCCAAGATGACAGGGCCTTAAAAACATCTTGTTCAGATGAATAAAAAGGAGGCGTTCCAAGGTGATGGCACTCCCAGTCTTCTCCTCTGATAATTAAGAAGGGATGTAGTTGTGATGTTCTTTTGTATAATGCCACTAGTACCATGAACAAGACTACTTCACAAGGCAGCAGAATAGTCCAGTCCAGGGAAGTAATAAGAATTTTAATTTGCGCTACTTTGCACAGGATTCAAACCAGGATCTCAGACATGACGTTTCCCATCATTCTATCATTCACATCAGCATTTTCTTCACAGTACAGCAGGGTTTTAATGGAAATAGTGATACTTGAATGTGTCACTAGTTGGCAAGACCAGAATAATGCTAGAAGTGCATCTTACCTGCAAAAGATTTTAGTTTTTTTTCTCCAACAGGATGAGAATCGAAGGGGCAGTATGGTTAGGAAACAATAAGCATTGTTTCCTGCTCTTTTTGTACAATGAAGTAAGGATCCTCCATAACTTCTGTACGTTTCTAAGCGTTAAATATTATCAGATTTGCTATCTTTGCATGGAAATAGAACAAAATGCCCTATTCTAGTGAGAGCCACATTTGCAGCCAGCAGCTAATATTGTCTCCATGTTTATGAAATTCCATAGTTGCTAGTGATCTGCCGTGTTGGCATCTGTTTATGCTTTCTCCTACATTGGATAATTAGAAGCTGGTTAAAACAGTTTCTTTCTGATTAGGACTTCGCTTTTTAACATGGATTAGACACCATAAATATTGCTTTTGTGACTAGAACAGTAGGCTGAACTGTGTTCATATGCCTTTTATTACTCTCAGCAAGTCTTGTTCCATATAGTTATGTGTGGTTTTGGTTCCTTAGTATTTGAGGCATGCATCAAATACAAGTAAAGGGGTGATTTTGTCAGATTGCAGGACCAGAGATCAGGAACTTCAGATTTCTAATACTGTATCTGACACTGACAATATTCTGTTATGTTAGAGAAATCACCTAACTTCTCTGTCCATCTGTATCTGCGCTGTAGAGTAGATATAATAGTAACTCACAGGAACTCACAGTATCTCACATACTCACAGGAATAGGGAAAAGATCTGATAATAGTTATAAATCCTTCTGAATACCAGAAGCACTGTGTCAGTGCTTTATGATCTTAAATAACAGTTCTGAGACAGACTTGTGTATTTATTTCTGGCAATATTGTTTGTGCTACAGATTATTCTGTCTAGACCCCCAGCGTGCAGTGAAGTTTAAGATCCCGAAAAAATTTCTTGAAACTTAGGTAATGTGTCCAGAAGCGTGGCCATTTTCTATATTGTATCTCCCTGTAATGTTAAAGAGCTAAGTGTTTTAAAGGATTAAGTTCAGGAATTTCATCTACTGGCAATACTTTATGGATCTCGAGTGGAGGTAATGGAGAGAAAGTATTCCCCCATTTTTCTACCGCAGCTGTCATATTCATACCATTTTCCTCACTGTGCTCAGTCCCTACAACAACTGTGTGAGAATCAAGTGGTCTGTCCCTTCTCTTCTAAATCTCATTCCTTAAATCTGTATTCTCACTTCCAACCTTTCTGAATGTTTTTGTGTACACGCTGCATGTATAGTAAAAGGTCTTGAATCACTTCACATGTCCCTCATAGCAGGGACACTGGCTTTCTATCCGCTTCTGTGCAGGAGAATAACATAACAAATAATACACAGCTGTCCAGGCCCCACATCATGGTTGCCATCTGAGTACTAAATTCTTTTTCTAGAGGATATTTTCTACTGTTGGAAAAAATAATCCAGCTGTGCTTCCTTCTTCACAGATGCTGGTCATCGTGACTCCTTTAGCTGCTTTTCTTTTCCCCCTTGTTGGCCAAATCCTTTCCATATGTTGTGGCCAATTACAGATGGTCATCCTGGCATTTCCTGATGGCAGGAGTGACTGCACCAACATGTACCATGTGTGCAGTGTTACAAGAGCTCTGCGTGAAATAAAAACCAGGCTGCCCTAGGGCAATCTAATCATGCAGCAATAGGCCGGGGCAACGCTGAGCTGAAAGTTTGGGCTTGGCCTTGTTTTGATCTGTTTTGTTATAGTTTTATTTCCTCCTTACATTCTGTGTCCCATTCATACTAATCACAGTCAGTCCTGATTTTTTTCTTTTTATTTCTGCATTTGTCATAAAATAAAGCAAATTATTCCCGTCTTGGGAAACGATCTAGACTAATTAGTCGTCTAACCCAATAATTAGTTTTTTGTTTCCCTGTCTGTTTTCATGCATTATTGTTAGTTTTTTCCCCTCTTTTTTTTTTTTACACCATTACAGATTAAAATGAGCCACATTTGCAGTTGATGGTATCTTTTTTTTGGGGGAAGAATGGAGAATTGCAATAGAAAGCTACTTCAAAAGCAGCAATAAACTCAAGGATAAATTAAGGAAATTGAATGAGCCACATTTGGAAGCAGCGTTGAGGCTAATATTCTGTCGCTTAAGGTTAAATTGCAACAGAGAAAGAGAGAGGGAGACATTCCAGTGAATCTAAAATTGGGGAGGCATTACTGCTCAAGTCAGTGCCAAAATTCTTTGCAGCTTGAAAGGGTTCTGCCTGGCTTGAGAATTTAATTATGCGTGCATCAAGTGGGTAAAGGTGCTAAACTGATTTCATTTCCTCTGCTCCCCCAGGCCTGACAGATGAAGAAATTGACCTGGCTTTCCAGCAGTCGGGCACAAGCACGGATGAGCCACAGTCCCCAGGTCCTTCGACACAGCTGGTGCCAACTCAGCCCTCTCACCCTGTGGTGTATAGTAAGTAACGCTTCGAAAAACATCTGGTCCTGTTGCTTTCTGCAGTGATTTCTGCAGCAATTTCACAGATTTCTGCACCGGATCCTAGATTTCTATTCCACTAATACCATACTTTTTGTCAGAATCGGACACCAAATGTTACTTTGAATGCACTTCATAGTTGTTGATGCCTGTCACAAGATCGTATTACACAAGGAAAATGAGATACAAATGATCATCGTCTACAAACAATCATCATACATACTAGCCTATGACACCTCTTGACCTGAAGGTGTATAGTCAATACAAATTAGATTCTGACCCACTATAAGGACTTGAAAAAAGCAATTAGTCAACGGAGGACTCAATCTTCCCTTCTAAAACTTAAGGTCGTGCTTCCCTTCATCAGTAGGGTTTTCTAATATTTAGATCATTAATACATAATAGAGCTGATAGATTCTTGGATAGAAGGTGCTGTAAAAGTGCAACACTATTACATCTTTAGTTATTGCAACAGTGGACTCTGTTCAATAAACTGTTGGACATCATCCCAAAGTTTTGTATTTTGGTTAGAGGACTTATTTTCTTAACTAGTCAGGCAACCAATCAGTTCATAGAATCACAGAATATCTCGAGTTGGAAGGGACCCATAAGGATCATCGAGTCCAACTCCCTGCTCCTCACAGGACAACCTAAAATGAAACCATATGACTAAGAGCGTCATCCAGATGCTCCTTGAACTCTGACAGTTAATGCCTTGAACAGTTACTTGAAAGAGGTGTATTTTCAGCATGAACAGCAAGCTAGAATATAAGCTCTTCAGGACTTAGTCTGTGACTTCCTGTGCATGAGGTTAAGGTCTGGCACAATGGACCCCCAGTATGAATGAGTTTTAAGAGTGCTATCAGATTACAAATAATAATAAAGAGTTAGTAAGGATCCTTAATTTTAACAAGCTTTCTCTCTTCAATCTTAAATAATCTGAGAGGTGACAGCAGAAATTCTCTGTAGACTATGTGGATATGATTGTATGATTTTGTGTACAAAATACTCTCAAAGAATTTTTAAAGTCCCAACATAATCTGTGTAGACTCAAAATTTACATATATATTTGCATTTTAAAACAAACCTCGCAAAAAAGTATCTAAGCTCCAAACAATAAAAACCAAAGTACACACCATTAAAAATCCATCAAAAGAAGCTGTTCAGCTCACATGTGTGTCTAGCAGTTTGAAAAGCACTTCACTTACCTGCCAAGTATTAAGAATAGGATTTTGATACTGCTCCTAAACAGTTCTAGTCAGAAACTGACTGATGTAACTGTCCACTTAGGGCTGTGTTTATTAGTTTATGGCATAGTTTTGCTACTGCTAGAGACAATACTAGACTTGCTTTCTGAGTTTTTAAATACTCTGGTTTGGCACAGTTTGGGAAGAAAAACATTTGTGATGGAGTTGGGCTCAGAACTGCAATATTTCTGACTGTTGTATTGGGTGTGCTGGTGAACTCCAGGGTTGAATTCTGCTTCCTGGGCTAATACCTGTCTGCCTTAGTTCACAGAAAATGCTAGAAAAGCAAAATCTGCTCTCTTGCTGAAGAAACAGTGCCAGATCCCTCTTAGCGCTAGCCGTTGCTCATTCAGCTAACTCTTATCACAACCCAATATTGGAAGAGTTAATTTCCCCTTATTTTATAGTGTTCCACTAATATGAGTAGGGCAGGAAAAAAGTATGCAATTCAAACTGGAAAACGTTGTCATCGTTATTAACCCTTGCAGCTTTATCACCGTTTGGTTTTTTTTCCTTTTACTATTTTGGCTTTCCTCAAAGCACCAGTTGCCAATTTCTTCTTACTAGGTCAGAATCTTTACTAATATTTAAACATCAAGATGTTCCCAGTAACACCTCCGAAGAGAATTCTGAAAGTATAATTCTGTAATGCTCAGAAACCGAAGGTGAATAAAAATACCACGAAAGTAAAGCTTTTTTAGGGGTTGTAACTGTAAACTGGTGCTCTAGCTATATGATCTGATTGATGCTTTTTAAATAATTTGAACCAAAAGCTTTTGCCTGTGAGCCAGTCATTTTTAGCAACCCCCAAAATCAGGGAAATGGTGACAATAGGTTTATTAGGTATTGTTCCTCCCCTCTCTAGCCATTCTTTGTAGACCTTCTATTTAACCTTTCAATGGAAGTATAAAAAGAATAAATAACTAAATATACATGGTATTCGTTTGACCAAAATACGTGTTTTGATTAGGTGTCATCTGTGCCCCATTCTAGTCCTTGACTGGTGTAGTACTAGTGGTGTTAATGATGGATCTATCTTTGTATCTTCCTGCTAAGTGCTTTCCATGGTATCAGAACTGCAAAAAGAATATGTGAATTTCTCTAGAGCTGAGAGTCTTTGCAGTGACTCAGTGTTCTTTCAAGGTGCCTTGTTTGCTGTAGGTTATTTCACCAGTTGGATGCTAATCCTGTAATGAATATTTCTGAATTGGTCCAAATCTGCTCCAGGACAGTTGTTTCTGTGATAGTTTACTAAGTCAATTTATCTTTTCACAGATTTGTCAGGGGTTGTCATGTACAGAGAAAGATAGATACTACTTTTTCTGTCTATCTGTTATGCTTATCTTCTTACAGAGTATTCATGACACTAGTGTTGGAATGCTTCAAGGTTTGGAGTTCAAAAGGACTAATGAGATAGGTAGACTGCTGAATCTGTAAGTTGACTCATTGATGGGAACAACTTATATTGGAAGAGCTTATATTGAAGAAGATTATGAGCTATATTTGCCTTCCCCAAAGAAGACATCTGACTTTCTTGTGAAGTAGCATCTGATCTGCTGGAGTTTAGGTCTTGAAGACTGTGAACCACTTTGTGTTTGATATTTTTTGTTCTTTTTAAGTTTTTTTTGAGTAGTTTTGCCACCTCTACACAAAATCACAAAACTAGAGAGAAAGAATTACCCCCCTCAGAGCAAAAAGGAGACACAGTTGAGGAGGGTACTGTGCTGAAAAGCAGTGGCTAGTGTCTTAAGAAACCTAATTTCTCTCTGTCCCCCCTCCCCACAAGGTGTTGCTGCTTCATGTTTAAAAATTACGTTAAAACTGTGGGTTACGAGTACAGAAATTCAGGATGGTTTCAGAACCATCTCAAGAGTTCATTCAGCACCAACAGCTGAGTTGGTGATCTTGCCAGCAACTCCAGCGTAAGATGCCACTCTTGTGAGTCAGAGCAGTAAATCCTATGCACACCTTTTGATTTTACTTGCTTGATCTCCTGCTGCTGTCAAGTCAGTCTGTTCTAATTTTTTAAAGTTGCAGGAAATAATTCATACCACTTAAATATTTCCTTTTGTACAAATTGAACTGCTAGTGTAGGTATTACTTAATATTCTAATGTTTTGTTGGAAATAGCTGTTACCTATGTAAGTACTTTCTTATTTTTTAAGAGTTAACGAGAAAGAAGTGTATTTGTAAACCTTCAGAGTAGCATAGTTCTTGTATGCCGAACTCCTCCTGGGTTTGGTTTAAGAAATACAATAATAACTTTTGGGAGGAAGAGGCAAGAATTAAGTTAAGTTTCTAGACACTCAATACCATCTCTACTATTTCTCCTCCTGTTCTGGAGGAGTAATTCCTTCCCTCCAGTTTGTACTTTTGCCAAGAGGTGTCAAAACAGCTTAAAAAAAAAAAAGCTTAAAAAAAGCTTGAATTTGATTAATATAGAGAAACAAGACTTTGCCTGACTGATAATAAAACTGATAAATGACATTTGAATTACTTGTAGCAGTAATTTATTACATAAAATATCTTTTATTTGACATGCGATTAGTTGCTGGAAGCATCACTCAATCTGACTAGTTTAAACATGCTCTAAAATGAACCCCCAGTAAAAAACCAGGGCTGTCTGCTGTTGGCATTATGAAATATACTAATCCAGCAGTGAGGACAAAAATCTGACTTTAAATATTTAAATGATTAATTGGGTTTATTTTTTTTTTTTTACCTTTCTAACCCCTATAATTACAAGCAAACTCAGGGGAGTTTCTGAGCTAGGTGTGCAAAGCTGCATGCTTATCATCCAGGTATTGTCTGTGTTCTTCCCCGTGGTATTTATGGTCTCCATTTATGGGGTTTTGTGCAGATTTTATACCTGCTTGAAGTCATCTCCAGTGACTGTTTTTCTTGCCATTTGGATCTTCTTCTTCCCCCCGATGTCTTCATTATGTGGGAGGCTGTAGAATACAGACTGTTTTCTCTTACAATTAAAAATGGTAACTAGAATCCAAGCTTGTTTTTTTTCCTCAACTCCTTTCCGTGGGTTTGCTGTTTGCTCTTGGAAAATCACCTCTTCCAGCCTCAGTTTCTACAGTTTCAAATGTGGATACTAGTGAGGCTGACCTTACTTGGATGCACAAGACCTAATTAATTGATGTCAGGAAAGGTAATTCTGAGATGAATGGGGATCTTAAAAATAGTAAGGGTTTACTCTGGAAGTGCAATTTACAGTTGCTGCTGTGAAAATAAAATATACTTATAGAAAACACAGACTTACAGCTGGAGAAAATGTGTTTCCCTTCCATTTGCCTTTTGAGGGTCTCTTATGTAGAATGGTTTGTTACTTCCCCAGTACGTAAACTGTAGAGTAACTGGGCTGTTAGTGCTTTTTCACTTTCTCTGAATTTTATTCCAGTTCTACAAATGGGGAAATTGAGGATATGCAGAGAAGTCGGTGTGAGCACTGAGGTTACAACTGAGAAACTTCTAACCCTCTCTCCACCCCACGTTTTAGATTAGAGTATCGCAGAGAAGAAGGAAGATTGAATGTGGATTTTAGGCAGAGCTGTGACATTCTTCATAACATTGTAAAGTTGATGTGGTCAATGCAGAGCCTTTACTGTGTCCCTCACTCACTCACTTTTCCTCTCCACCCCCCTCACTTTTTTTTGCCACAAGACAGAATTATTTCACACATCTCTAAAACGAGTAAAATGGCATTTCAGCTTCTTGTCTTTATAGACTCTCTGAACTTTAGGAAAGATCATTCTGGTCCCTTTTCATTAATAATGAAAACCAGGGGGCAATAAAATGTTCTTAGCTCAAGCATTACAGGAATGGAGGGAGAGATGAGTGAGGTGAAAGGGCAGAGTGGACCAGGTCCTACAGGTGTCTCTCTTTTCTACTCAGAGGTCACCACAGCTGGGAAGTGGTTAGGGACAGCCAGTCAAGGAATGCCATGGACAGGGCACAGTTGGACCCACAGACCCTCTGAGATTAATTAACCCTTTACAATAGGCAGTTCAGCCTGGAACGAGTTGCGTTGTCATAGAAGGATATTTTTAGTCAGAAGTTCAGGGCAGAGAATTGGACAACCAAGAGACTTCAGATACCAGAAACAACAGTGGGAGCAGAGTAAGGAGGGGAAAAGGGGATAGATGACTGGGGTTTGCAGCAAGATTAGCCAGAGATCATTTTAAATCCTGACATGTACACAGCCAGTTACTGCAGCTTAGCTGACGTGTGTTAACTCATTAAGTTAAAAAGTTATGATAATTTGATCATGTGCCTAAGCTCCAAAACTGCAACTGCAGCAACCCAAAATACTGCTGGTGATACTATTCACCAGTTCTGACAGAGCTGCTTTAGTTTGTTCAGATTTCTAGCCAGTGGATAATTTGAAGAGCTGTCTCCTAAGTGCCAGAATTTGAGAGTTAGTGCCTGTCTGTAGAGCCCGAGGGCTGGGATTAGGAGTAACTCTTGCAATGAAATGCCTGTAGAAGATCTCAGCAACAGGAAAAATGGCAATAGGTAAGCAAAGCAGAAAGGAGAGAAGCTTCCAGCCATTTCAGCCAGTTAAGCCACCCTTTGAAAGCCTAAATTGAAACTTTGGAGAACAGAATGCATTTCCGAGACATTGTAGGTCACATGTAGATTTGGAGACTGTACACCGGCCTCCACCTCATCAGTTCTGCCCACATCCTGCCACTGAACTTTAGGAAAGATCACTTTGCATCCTTTTTATTATTAAAGAAAACCGGGGGCAGTACAAGATTCGTTAAGGGAACTGCGAGGGAGGTGAAAGGATAAAGCTGGTGGAAAACTACAGGTGTCTTCTGATTCTGCTTGAAGGAGCAGAGCATACCATATCTTTGCTTTGCTCTGTGGAATCTCTGAGCTTCTGTGCAGAATTGTGTGTTAAATATCTCAATCTTTTATCTACTTCTTTACCTCTCTCTGTAGATATTTAATTGCATATTTTCTCTCTGCTGGTTATGTGTGCTTTGGTCCCTATTCATAATTCAGGCTTGAAAGACACTGGATCCTTCCTTATTGAAATGGTCCGTAATTGCTGACACAGTGTTCACAGATCCATTTATTGCCCTGATTTCTCTTCTTTCTCAAAACACTTCCGTCTTTCTTTTTTGCTACACTCTTCTGGGTCTCTGGCTCTGTCCCCATTTTCAAGAATTATGGTAGTGAAGAACAATTGGTGTTCAAGCAATGAGTTAACCTTAGCTAGCACTAACACCGTAGTTAGTTATCTGGGGAAAGTGCAGTAGGGTGCAGAGTGCCTTATGCAAGGAAAGAGTAGGGCAAAACAGCTTGATGGAACTTTTTAAATTGCTGCTGTGATTTGTCTCCCTTTGACACCTTGTGCAAGGCCAGGGTCAATGCTAGAGGTCTGGACAGATGTTTCAATGTCCTAGGGCCAGAAGCCTGCACACTGTACCTGAGGGACTACCAGCATCTTAATGCCCCCTGCTCAGTAGATCTATGCCTCCTAAGGAACAGCAGAACTGGCATTATTCGTTGCTCGTTTCTCTGGTAAAATGGGTGTATGAAAATGTTGTCACCTGCAGTTCTGACTATGATTATTTCTTGATTTTGGCCTTTAGGTCCACCTGGCTCCAGATGGCGAGATTATGGGGCTTTGGCTATCATAATGGCAGGAATTGCGTTTGGATTCCACCAGCTCTACAAGGTAATATCTCCCTCACTACTCTTACACTGTACTCGGAGAGAACGATGTTACACTGCTTGTGTCCAAATGATCATGTTGGTTCCAAGTTGGTGAAGCATCTCTGTTCTTATTGGCATTGACATTGGTACATTGGAGAAATGTAGACTCTTAACATGAAAACGCAGAGTCAAAAAGTGGCAAGAAACAGAACTAGTTCTTAGCAGTGGATCTCAAACTGCTAGAAACAAGGTCATTTTCGTCGTGTATATATATTTTGGAATTTTTTAAGTTGGGGAAACTGAGCACAGTTCAGTAAAGGGATTTTCCCAGCATTGGCCAGCAGACATTGCTGTCATAGCCCCAGTCTATGATTTGCCACTGGTGAACCTGCACCATGGGTAGGAAAGAATCTTCTTTGACCAATCAGAATGTTGAAAAGAAGATGATAATTTCCAGCTCTACCATACGTCTTGTAGTTCTACTCCAATGTGCTTGGAACAAGGTAAAGCAAGTGTGTGTCTGCTGTAGAGACAGCAGCCCCTTCTTATTTCTTGTGCAATGTTTCTCCAGTTGAACATATTCTTTCACTCTAGATTTGCTTTCCAGCAATGTGGTAAGTGATGTTAGATAATGTCTTTGGTAAACAGCCATATTCTGTGGCCACATAGAAAGACATAAGTGGTTTAGGTCAACACAGCAGAGTGTAAAGAGCTTTGGTCCAGTAGAAGTTGTGTTTTATTTTTGAAAAAGGGACAGAGATGAAGACTTAATGAGAGGTTCATGGTTTTCATGTTTGTTTGTTCTTTAATTAACTATTACTGCCTTGTTTAGTAAATAGTAAAATCTATTTTACAAATAAAAGTGTTGGCCTTCTAGTTTAAAACTACTTCTCTTATCCTGTCCTATCATTAATTTTCTGGGTCTCAGGCTAAGAGAGAGAGGCCAGATTAAGAAACGTATTCCATCTATGCAAGTAAAGTTACATGATTTAAGAGAATGGCTTTTTATTGAGATACGTTGTCCCTGTGTTTTTATATTAAAGTAGTGATGCCAACCTTACTGATCTTTTCATTCTTGCAAAGAGTGGTGGGGCTGATAAGTGTCCAGAGAGATGTTAAGACAACAGCTGCTGGGCCTTGCAGACCTGAACACATTGCTGTTACTAAATGGCACATACCTAACACATATTGACGATTTACGTAATTTTTTTTGCATAATGTCACTGATGCTGTTAATATATCTTACTGCTGTATTCTTTGTTTACAGATCTTGCTCTGCTGTCCATCCAAACCTCATAAGGCATATTGTGTGCCTAGCAGAGACCCATATTCTTTTATAGGAGTAAGAAATCTTTGGAGATTGATAAATTCTCTCTGCCCTTCATGGGATTTTGAGGGAGTTTGCAAATAGTGATTTTTTATAGGAAAGATAGGATGCTAGGATAAAACGTAGTTGTCCATGTGTGTTCTGTGAAGATTAAGAGAGAACTGTTTATGAAAGTCATCAAAAGCTATTTGCTCTTGAGAATGTCTGAGTATAAAACATGTACGTGTACACGTGCTTTGTGAGGGTAAGAGCTGTGTACAGCGACACTGAAATCTTAAACCAGTGCTATTAAGTGTAAAGAAGGCTGTCCCACACATGTCAGTTTGGATAATCAGCTCTGTCTCAGAAACCATCCTGTATGTATGCCCCAATAGTGGGTGTACATGCATCAAAAGCCAGGATGAAAAAGAATTGATAGGCACTATCAGGGCTGTTTCCACATCCTAGACCATCCTTCTCTCACATTTTTTTCACCTGCCATGTTGTGCTTGGACGTGCCCATGTTAAAGTGCATATTCAGTTCATAGGAGCAGTGCTGCAGAAGGATCCATGGTAGTTAGAGGAGAGTTGTGATCTATTAAATCCAGTCCATCCTCTGCAAGGGGATGAGGTAGATTTTACGGCTATGTACAGTGTCACTGAACTGCCTCTTATCCTGTACTAGCTTGTTTCTCACTTCCTTTAGCCCTGGTTCCTTAGTTCTCTTCCCTGTGCTCTAGATCTCTGCTTTTCCCTCTCTGACTCACAACCCTTCCCCTGCCATGGTTCAAAAGATTTTATAATACCTCTCATTCCCTGCCTTGTGCTTCTTCTGGCCTTTCCTGGGCCTTTCTCCTTCCCACTTCTGCATTTCTGGCCTTGTGGATGTAGCTCAAATGTTGCGACACATCAGCGAGTTCACATTCGAGAGCATAAGATCTGAAATTGTACTCTGTATGTGATGGATGTTTATCTGGACTGAGAGCTGTCCCAGGAAACCTTAAATGGAGTTAGAAACTGTTTTTTAGCACCCCCAAAAATGTGACCACAGAACTCATATCTTCTCTACTGCAACTTCATTTAACGCCTACTGTAGAGGGAATTTCTTTTCTCAGCCGGGTGTGTGGATAAATGATCACCGGCTCTGTAATAAAGGCTGAGGTTTGGGTGGTGGGCTTTGAGGATGTTTCAGATAGATTTGAAAGACCGCTTTGCATATCCCTATTTCCTAAAAAAAGTTTCTGTACTCCATGCAGAAATACCTGCTTCCTCTCATCATGGGAGGCAAAGAAGACAGGAAACAACTTCAGAGGATTGAGTCAAACATTTCTGAGATGAGTGGCAGTGTGACACAGACAGGTAAAGATTAATGACTCCATCAATTCACCCCTCAAAGCCTTTCTCCCTGTATCCTCCATTCTGCCAAGACCCCCACCCTTTTCTTTCCCTCCATCTCCACTTTATGTGGTGACTTCATTTATCTGCTCTGAGAATCTGTTCACATTTGCAAATGAAGCCGCCGTCATTTCGGTTTAATTTGAAATTGCTTGTTTACTGTCGGCGCGGCCTCAATTAATTATGTTTTTACGGAAAGGCTCCCAACCTCAGAATATTAATAAGGGGAATAAAATGACAGCCTTTCGGAGGGCTGTAAAGTTCATTTTTAATTTCTGCTTCTCTGATGTTTTCAGGGGCTTTTTTTTGGTGTTTTTCCCCCACCTTCCATCTGAAAATCCGAGGAAGGGTCAGGAGAGTCTGTAATTACTGTGCCTCCCTGACCTTAGCCACCTTCTCTGTTATTGACTCTATAGGGTGTCTGTTCATTACCCGATGCCCTAATGATGGTCTGGATTAGCTGTTACCTGTCACACCAATAGAGTTTTTAATTTTATTTTATTTTATCAGCTTGTTTACTGCCTGGAAGTTTTGGATAAAGTACCAAAGTAGAAAAAGTTCTCCTACAGCTGGAGTTGGAGTCCAGCAGAAGTTCTTCAGTGTTTGCTGGGGTGTAGGAGGGGGATACAGGGTGTTCTCTTGAGATAAAAGGGGAAAAGCGCAAAGTATATTCAGTTGGTGGGATGGAAAAAAGTATGATTTTCAGTAGTAAGTTTGTTAAAGATGTTGGGGTTGAAGGAGCTGATGGGTTGAGAATGGGAGGATGCTAATTACACTTTTTAGTGGAGGGTGAGAAGAAAAGCATCTTTTATTTCTCATGATACCCTAAGGCCAATTCTGAGACTAGCCTCTTCCCAGATTGGAGCTAGCCCCAGTGTTTGTCTGCGTGAGGCCCAAGATAGATAAATGATACAAGCATTGTATAAGTTCAGGGAGATGTACAAATCATAAACCAATATAATTAGAAGGGAGAGGTTTTGGACGGATATACTGTGGGCTATAGACATCTATACAATGGAAAGATAAACTAGAAATACTGGAGGTTAGATGCAGTGCAGGTAGATTACCCATAGTGCAGATAAATCATATGGATTAAAGTGAGCAGGCGGGCATAGATAAATTAAATATAGTAGGAATAGAGGCATCTTTGTAGCTAGACAGCAGGAAGGACATGTGTGAGTGTGTATATGTGCATGTATCTCAGTTTAACACTCGCCTGCTTTTTCCCTCACAGTGACTCAGTTACAGACAACTTTAGCAGCTGTCCAGGAACTGCTAATCCAGCAACAACAGAAAATCCAGGAGCTGACCCAAGAACTGGCTGCTTCTAAGGTATCCACTTCCAACTCTTCACCTTTAGAACATCACCATCTTCTTTGGAACATGCATGGCTTCTTTTGTGGGCACATGGAAAGCACCTTACTAGGTTCACAATCCAGCCTTCAGTTCTGTCATATCCCCAGCCAGTTTCTCTGCATCTGACTTCTCCATAGGCGGTCTGTTTAAAGCGCTGGATATGAATTGGGTACTCGATGAAATATGTCTACCTTCTGAGAGGGCTTTGCTATATAGCTTCGTATGCAGCCTGTGTGTCTGAGGCCTCAGACCTGTTCTCAGCTCTGTATCTTCTGCATTGCATTTGAGATGAAATAATTGTGCTGTTAGTCCACCGACCAAAAGAGGTAAAGGCCAGTTGTGCAGAGGTTTTATTTGTGTGTAATATGTAATTTTACATGTTTATATTTCTCCTGTAGCTTTGTGCATTGTCAAAACAATGACTTAATCCTGTTCGGCCAAGCACACACTTGAAGTACTCTATTTAAGTCACTTGTTCAGATCCAGGCCAGGTAATGGCTGAACATTCTTACTATTTGGTTTTTTATTTCAATGATTTTGGTCATCTCAGTGTAACAGGTGGCCCCATCACAACCCACATTAATGATGCACAGTGGCCCATTCCCCTTGACTCCTGACTTGACCCTGGCAATAAAACCATCAGTTCTGACTAGTTTGTGTTGTTACATGTGTAACTACAAGTAACCACTTTTAACTAGAATTGATTTTCTTTCTGGCAATGAGAATTAGTGCTTTTCATCTCCAAAGTACTTTGCAGCCATTGGTCTAAGCATTCTATGAGCCAGTAAGTGTTGGTTACATGTGAGTGGGATGGATTTGAACCAGTCACATAGAGATGAAGTCTTCCTTTCACTCACAAACTTGTGATTATTCAGGGCCCAGTCATCTTGCAGTATTCTCTGTACAGGGAGAGATTTTTCTTTTTACTGTGAAATCCCTTAGACAATGCTTACAATCTTTTACCTATAGCATGAACAGTTGTCTTCTCCCCTTACCTATACTTTAATCTCCTGCAAACCCTTTGATGGTGTGTAACTGGTGGGCCACAGCTGACTATGTGGTGTGCACACTGTACAGTAGGAATCCCTCAGTGGCACAGCTGTAAACCCAACCATGAAAGCCAGTTTATGGTCACAACACTCTACTTCAATTTTCCTTGGGAACTGTGGCCTGTCAGTGGCCTGGAGCCAGTCCGGAAATTGGAAAACTGTTTTCAGGTCTTAAGTGTTAAGATTAAGACCACATGTTGAGCTTTAAGAAGGAAAAAGGGCATAAGAGTCTTGGTGGTTTAGAGAGTCTTGAAGAAGTTTTTCCTCCCCCCTCTCTACCCCCTGCACTGAAATGGTAGCACACATTGTTATGATATCTAAACCTCATGTGTACAAAGAAAAACTTGGGCAACCCCACAAACCAAAGAATAAAAGCTGTGTTTTCTCAGCTGTAATGTAAGTTTTTATATCTGCTTTTCAAACTCCTACTGGCATGCTGTAAAAAATTAAAAAGAGGGACTTTAAGTAATTAAAAAACGTACATAAAAATTCAAGGCTTGAATTTTCTACAACTGTTTTTTAAAGAGACTGGCTAAAAAGCCCCAGATGTCAGATTTTATTTCTAAATCCTAGGCATCTGGCACCATATGTGTTTTGGAAATTTGAGTCCTTTGCAGGCCAGTGAGTGGAAATCACTCCCTTGTTAATGTGCTGCTGTAGCTTTCAAGGTCTTGGAAAGCCAGAACAGTGGCTCCTGGATTCTTGCTGTCTGAGGGCTGGGAGTGTGAATCCCAAGGGAACGCATCTGTGTATATCACAGCTACTACAGACTGAGCCTCTCCCAGCTCGCTGGGTTCACAGCCCAGAAGTCACTGTGAGGAGTGCTGGCTGCGAAGGTGTTCAGGGTTACTCAGCACTAGCTGAAGTCTGTTTAAAGAATAAGTGGGAACAACCAGTTCTGGCTATGTCTAGTAGAAACTGCTGAGGAGGAGTTTTGTGTTATTCCAGTCCTGGCTTCCTTTGTCAGGGCATGTATTAGGACTATCTCTGGAGTGATGCTCACAAATGGATTAATTCCTAATGGCTTTTAGTAGAAATTACTATGGGAAGTGCTAGACATGAGTGTTCTTTGGTCACATATTCAGCCTATTGCTACAGGAGTTGCTAGAGTGATAGGACGGGGTAACCATAGGCCATGATCTGTCTTTCAGAATGTTCCTCCCATTTCTGAAGTTCCCAAAAGAGTTAAAAGAAAGATTGCCGAAAGTATTATCTGCAGCATGGTCTCCTCCATTGTCACTTTACCCTAATTTCTGCCTGATATCCCATAGCAATTCTGATGCAGTGCTGACAGCAGCTGTACCAGGCTTCCATCAGTTACTTATCATCTTTCCCCACCAAAGTGCATTTGTTACCTTGAAATATCCAAGAGACAGTGCCTAGTCCAGCTGCTTCCTGGAGATACAATCTGGTAACTCAAGCATAGCTCTAACTCTTCAGATCCAGTAGGGAAAATTTTTGCAACTTTCAAGTATCAATTTATCAGCCCACCTCTAAACACCACAGAGTACAGATAATCGATTCTTTATGTCATGATTTAGGAGAAACGAACAAATGGTTTTAAAATAGTTGTTAATATATCATATTTGAATCTGTTGCCTTAGCTAAGTGCAGTCACAGGAAAGAGTAAAGGACCTGATCCAGTGCAACTCCCACTGCCTCGCAGGATCCTAGTTCTAGTTCTCCTTCTCTAGAAATCATTCATTAGGTCAGTGTCAAATGATTTAGTTTACCTCTTTGTGTATTGTTCTCTGTCTAATATGTTGGTGGAAAACATCCTATGTAGACCTAGCTTTGTGTGAATTCTCACAAGTGCTGGCCTCCTCCTAATCGAAAAAGAAAGGTCCCCTTGAGATGCTTCAGCAATGGTTGTGCATGGTATGTTGGAGACAAGGTTAATTAGTCCCCCAACGGAAAGCACATATTTGAATAGTCTTAGCATCTTGAGACAATTATTATTTCTGATCATCGTGGGGACCCATTCAGGTCCTTCTTTATTGTGGAAGTTGTTTTGCTCAGATCTGAGAGATTTTAAATGATAGAGCTTATGTATGTTATCCCAAGGGCTCAAGATTCCCAGATGGGAGGAGAGGGAGGATAACATAGAAAAAAGTGACATTTGTGAACTATCTCCCAGTTCATACTTTGATCTTTATGTCTTCTTTTTCATGTTCTAGGCCACAACTTCCACCAACTGGATTCTGGAGTCGCAGAATATTAATGAATTGAAATCTGAGATCTACTCGTTAAAAGGACTTCTCCTGAACCGGTATGGATGGAATGTGTGAGCAGATTATTGTGTGGGGAAAGGGTTGCTTTCTGGGATTCTCTCAATCATGGAGAGGAAAGGCATTTCCAACAGGAACTAACTCTATATCCTGTTATTGCTATTTTAATAATACCACTTTGCACTCCACTATCACTTTCTATTTAAAGGTCTCAAAATGCTTTTCAAACTTGCCTTAAATCACAGAGCGCTTTGGGTAATTAATAAGATTTTTCCTTTTTGTATAAGATAGAGGAATTCTCTGCCATTCAGCACAGTCAAGATGCCTCTCACTTAGTTTGAGGTATTGACTGCATCTGCACCTGCATTCTGTTACAGAGAAAGTCACTTCTGGCTACAGTTCAGCTGACCTGTTCATGGTTGGGGCATAACCAGGATGAAAAGAATCGCACTTCAGCAGAGCCCGTTTCTGTCGATTAGCTAGCTCAGGTATAGACATCTTATAATGTAGTAGATGACTGAAATGAGGTGATATAAATCCCAGCCGGTGGGACAGTCATAAGAACAGGGATCAGATATCAGTTCTTGAGGAAATTCTTTTTTTCCAGGTATATTACTTAAGAGTTTATCTAGCTTTTCAGCTATTGATCCTTTCACTCTGATATGACTCCCTTGCCTCCTCCTACATGTAACTAAGTCTTCTCAAGTTATCTGTTTCCTAAGAGATGGACTTCAAAGATCAGTCTAAGATTGGACTAGACATGTTCTGGATCTCAGCAAGTGGGCTTTTCAGAAGTCTGAAAAGTGTATTGGCTTTAATATCCTTTTAAATTCTCGCTACACCTCCCATTCCTCCCAGGGGTCACAGTAGAAGGCTTTGGAGGATTGAGGACACATACTAAGGTACTGTCTGTTAAGTTGGGTCATACTAGCATCACTGCTGGGGAGAGAGCATTAGTTAATGGCACCTCTTCAGCAATGGGAAAGTTGCAGCTGGGGGATAGGTGCTTTTTGGAAAAAAGAAAACTTTTTTGGGGGTTGTTTTTTGACAAAAAGGCAAATGTTTCTGCAGTGAGGAGGCAGCAGCAACACCGGAGCCAAGAAAGTCTCCAGATTGAATTTGTTGATTGCATTTATGATACTGGTTGAATAATGCAGACATTAGCTTATTGCACTCACAGGAGATGGAGGTTAGATCAGCAGAGTTCTTCGATGGCTGGTGGTAGCAGCAGGAAGAGGGAGGTGAGAGCAACTACTGTTCCTAGTTCAGTCTAAGAAAATGTAATCTGCTGTGTTTGAGCGCTAACTGTAGGAGAGCAGCCAGCTTTCGTCTGCTCTGGTCTTGTCCGTGGCGCTAGCCAGCTCACCTGAGGGGCATGAGAACTCCCTGCTGCACAGCATCCTTTTCAGAGCTTGATCTGATACCTCTTCATACTCCCACTTTTCACATACACAAGCAAGGATGCATGGGGAGTACTAGATCAGACATGCTTTTTTGCTTTGTTCTTCATGATGGATGACTTTCAGTGCTCCCCACTGCACTTACATTTGTCCTCTTTGGTACTTGGATTCTCCTGTTAGGGCTGGGCATTAGCCTGCCACTATCAAATCCTTAAAGCCCACCTGTAAGGGACTCGAGGACAGAGCAGCCAGCTTTCTCAGTTGGTGCAAGCTAGTATGACTCCGTTCAAGTCAGAGAAGCTGAACCAGTTTGCGGCAGCCAGGACCTGGCCCAAACGTGTAAAGTGCATGCTGGGACTAGGAGATAGGCTCCGGATTGTAATGAGCCAGCATGCAATAGCAGTGTATCACAGTGGAGGCGAGAGCCAGGTGGTGAAATTCCTTGGCTCAGGCACAAGGACCTGGTGTGTCTGACTCCTTGCTCCAGTGGGAATTTTCTTTACCAATTAATTAGTGATTGTTTCATAAAGGGACACTCATGTCTTTCCACAGGCAGCATTCCTGAGTGCTAGCTTACTCTGTGAAATTGGCCAAACCAGATCATTTTAGTACTTCAGATTGCCTAGCTGTGATATTTTTCTTGTGTGCAGGCTCGATTACTGGGTGCTTGTAAAGCACTTTGAGATTCTGGCTGAAGAAGTGAAGTGGCCTTGGTTTTGTTCATTTATGATAAAGGAGACTTGCAGTTTCAGTCCTGCTTTACATGACTTCCCCAGTGCAAATACCATTCTCTCTAATGATAACCCCGCAGTGTTTTTAATAAAAGCCCCTTTCTCTCCT